GGGCAGCTTTTGCTCCGGCAGTACCTCCCCGATGGGAGAAGCAGCCAGAGGAGAGGCGGTCCCAGGCCGTGTCGGGTGGGATGAGAGGAGCACTTTACCAAAAATGGTTTGGGCCTTAGAATTTAACTTACTCTGCCCACTATAGGAGGAACACAACTACCTTCAGTGGGACCTTGGGTGGGTCACTTCCCATCCAATGTATCTATAAAGGAAATGGATCGCCCACCCCTGACATTTTGTGACTCCCAAGCTAATCAATATCAAAGGAGTGTCCGTGCCACCCCTGCCCCAAGCCTGCACTGCCAAGGGAACCCGGTGAGACCCTCCCCTGCTGCCCAAATGCTCAGCAGGGGGGCTGCAGGAACCCCAGGAACAGAGACCCTGGAGAGAGTTCAGCCTCCCGGCCGGGCATCACAGCCGTCAGTGTGCAATAACAACCTGGGGAGCCCGGAGGTGTCAGCAAAGCAGAGGCCTGATCCCACCCTGGAGAGGACATCGCAGCAAGGAGCCCAGGTCTGCGCAGGTGACCCCACATGAGACTGACAGAACAGGAGCGGGCTTCAGTCACATCTTGAAGAACACATGTCTACGGGCTTCATTTAGAAAAGTATGACCTGGAGATCAAGGCTCTGCTGGGATATAAGATTCAAGCAAGACGGAAGGAGTAGAAGCTCCTCTGACCTGGATTCCCATATAGTCAACAAACCATGAACACCTGCCAGGCATCCACCCAAGCCAGGACTGGGGACCCACAGAACAGGACACAGGCGCTGCCCTCAAGGAACTCAATGCAGGGAAGCGTCTGACGACCAGCAACACGACTTGATAAGTGCAGTCGCAAAAGGGATGCTCCCTCTGTGGGGAGCAGGCTGGGGTGACATAACTGACAATTGTGGTTTGAAGTCCCACATGGGTCAGTTAGCTTTGCACAAAAGAAAGAAAATGTCATAGCCACACAAAGCCTCCTAACCACGGCCACAGGCTACGTCTTAGGCACAGAATAACACCACATGACAGTCACAAAGAGACCCCTAAGTCTAGGTACACCACATACACAGACCCCCAACACCAACCACAGAAGGGTCCCAACCCCAGTGTAAGTCCCGAGGGCGACCCCTCGCATCTTCCTCTGAGTTCCCAGCTCCGACTTCGGCCTTGGGGCTGTGGACAGTAAAGTCACAGGCTGGGAAATTCCTGAGCTGAGTCCAAACAGGAGAAGGACAGTGCATTTGGGGGTGGGGCTGTCTTCTGACTGCGGGTCACTAAGATTTCCCTGCACGTTGCTGCTCTGCTCTGAGCCTGCCTGGGGTCCCACTCGGGCCAGCCTTACCCCCTGACAGCCCGCTGGGCCCTGTGCTGACCAGAGCAGAGTAGGGTCAGGCACCCAGTGGATGTTCATAAATAATTTTTTGCAGGAAGCAATATGGTAACTAATAATCCCTCACTTGTGCTCCAGATTCCTGATCAGCCCCTGTCTCCTCTATCTCTGTGTACCCTCCTGGCTTCCTCCTTTCAGCATTTCCACACACTCAAGTCTTCCTAACTCATGAGCGTCACCTACACCCTCTGACTCTCACATCATCTCCACTCAACTCCTTGACACACCCCCGTCTACTGTCCACCCTCATCCCTCCCAGAACTGTTCTCAGTTACATCAACAGCAGCCACCAGGCCACTAACCCAGAGGCCCTGTGTGCTCCACATCGTACTTTGCCTCTCCACAGCAGCTGACACAGCTGCCCATCCCTCCTCTGTGAAACCCTCCTCCCACTGTGTCCTCAGCCCTCTCCGCACCACTGGACTTTACCTGGGGGAGTCCCTCACGGTGCCATCCCAGGAATCTCTCTTCTCACTCCACTCTCTCCCTGGAGAGCTCACTGCCCCCTGCCCTAAGCTTCAATTCCCATCTCTATAAAAATGACTCCAGATTTTTACCTCTAGTCCAGACTCTTCTTCTGAGGCTGGCTCCCAAAGACCCTGCTGTTCACCGATATCCCCATTCATGTCTGAGGCTTGTCCAGCTCAGCATGTAGAACTCAAGCCCTCGTCCTCCCTCCGGGGTCACTCCATCTCAAAGAATGGCTGTAACATTTAGCCAGTTGCTCCAAACCCGGAGCCATTCTTGCCTCCTACCTCTCCCCAAATCCTCACCTCTCATCAATCTACCTCCTAAGAAATGTGAGATCTGACCACTTCCCAATAACCTCACAGGCCCCTCGGAGTCAAGCCACCATCCTCTCCCCACGGGACTCCCGTGGAAGCCTCCCAACTCCTCTCCCACTTTCCACTCTGCTGCCTCCTACGCATTCTCCACACAACAGCCAGAGTGATTTTTCAAAAGTCCCATCATCTTACTCCCCTAACATCTCCAGTGACTTCAATGCCCTTAGTTAGGATAAAGCTCAAAATCTTTAACAAAACTTCCAAGGGTCTGCCTCTCTGTCCCGAACTGTGGATGCTCTGGCCATTCTGGTCTTCTTCCAGTTCCTCCAGGGCAACCTTCTCTCTCCTGCTTTACGGAGCCTGGTCTCCAGCTGTAATGTGCATACGAATCACTTGGGAATGTTGGTAAAATGCAGATTCTGATTCAGTAGTCTGGAGTGGGGCCTGAGATTCTGCATTTCTAAGGAACCCCCAAATGTTGCAAGTGTTGCTGGTCCCTTGGCCTCACTTTAAGGAGCAAGCATCTAGAACACTCTCCTCCACTCTGACTGCACCTTTGCCTAAGTCCTACTCAACTCTCAGGGTTCAGCTTAAATATCATTTCCTCAAAGAAGCCCTACCTGACCCTCTCCAACATTAGGTTAGATTCCCCCCTACACACACCTTATACGGCCCCCAAGCTACACTGTGCTTTTCCTTTGGAACATTCATCACATCTACCTGTCTACCCCTCATTCTTGAAATTATTTTTTCAACTTTTGTCTCCCTAGCTAGCCTACAAGCTCCAGGAGAGGAGGGACCATAACGTCTTGGTCACTACCAGGTACTTAGCGCTCGGCACTGGGCCTGGCACATGGTCAGCACTTGCAGTAGAAAGCTGCTGCTGACTTTGCCTGCCCTGCATCCATTCCCCCTTCTTCTCAGAGTAGCACCTCCATTTTCCTTTGAGGAGCCACCCTTCCCCTCTCCGTTGTTCCAGTTTAGGTGGTGGGCATGAGACCCAGATCTGGCCAATCAGAGCCTTCCATCTCTCTGGTTGCAATGATTGGTTCAGAGATAGACATGTGACCGAAGCCAGGCCAATGAGCTTGCTCCCTGGGACTTCTGTTAAAACTAGAGAGGAAGACAGACCCTTCTTTCCACTGGAGTTATTTAGTAAGTAGGAGCTGCTGTCACCATCCTGCCATCACAGAGACAGAGCTCGAGCAAGAATGAAACCAACACAGAAGAGAGCTGGAAAGAGACAGATTTCATGGATGCAGCCATGCCTAGAGTGGATGCACTCGGCATTACAAAGGTAATAAATTCCCTTTTATGCTTAAGCCAAAGTGAGTTATGTTTCCATCACTTGCAACCAAGAGTCTTGACTAATACAACATTCAAATAAATATTGGGTATTGAATGAAATGAGTATGTAAGCAAAGTCTGCCAAGAGAACTCAGTGACTCCTCCTAGGAGACTTTCAGAGTTCTCCCTGCAAACTCCTGCCATCCAGGAGCACAGAGACAAGCATCCCACACCCAACTTTGCAGACCAAGGGGGTGAAACTCAGAATGGTGACATGCTTCTCAGCATTACCCCGTGCAAACAAGCCGCCCCAGCACCTGGCTCAGATGCCACTACTGTGACTAGGCTGATGACGGTGGTATGGCTTTCAATGCCCCTAGGTACCCCACCAGGAGGAGAGCAGAGCTGTCCTCAGTGTGCCCTGCACCCCGCCTACTCCTGAACTCCTAATCCAACCAGGCAGGCTCTGACCACCATTCTGTGATATTCCCCCTCTGCGCATACCACACAGCTCTCTGCATGCTGGGCATTCAATATGGGATGATAATGGGAAGTTGGCCCTTATCTCCTTTCTTTGTGGGTATCACTTTGCAACAGATTAGGTCAGGGAAGAGGGGGTGCAAAAGAGAGCAACAGGGAGGAGCCCAAATTATTTCCTTGTGAGTCACCTCATAGCAGAGCCACAAGACAGATACGAGGACTAGCCTAGATGTCCCCTCAATGACTCAGGATGCAGGTGACTTCTTCAGAGCTCAGTCCTCACCCAGCAAAGTGTGAGGGAAGGAGGGAGGGAAGCAAGGAGGGAGGAAGGGACAGAGGGAGGTCCTTTGCTGCCCAGGCAGGAAGACTGGCTGAACCAAAGTCCTTCCTGAGAGCCAGCTCAGGCGTGTGTGGCCATCCTGCCAGGAGGGGACTGGAAGGTGAAGGTGGAAGGGCATGGTGCAGGGAGGGTGCTGCCTCCTCAGTTCCCCAGGAATGAGAGGGGCCTGGGCCTGGGATGTGGTCTTCCAGAAAGAGATTTGTGAAAGAAGTGCTAATAGGAAAAGAACTACTGGCCCCCAGAAGGTCCAGGGCAACTCTCTAACAGGGATTGGGGTGACAGGGCCAGCCCAGGAGGGCCAATCAGAGGCAGGTAGACCAGCACGTGGGTGCCAGCACACAGGACCCCTTCTTCCCCAGCCCTAGGCAGCCCTTCTGGGCAGTAGCCCCTTAAGGCACCCAGTTGCATTCTAAGTCTTCCCACCTACTCCTGCCTGGGCCCCTTGTTCCAGAACCCCACAGCTCCACAAGGCCTCTCGCTAATTACCAAGCGTCCTGCCAACCACGCTAGGCCCAAGTCTATTTCCTCACCGCCCCAACACCTCTGAGTCACACTTTCCTACCCGCACGGGTGAGCTTAAGTGCAACGCTGCCTCTAGAGGTGTCGGGCACTCCATGGCCCCCACTGGGATGGAAGCAGCTGGCCTGGAGCCAAAGCGACAGCTATAGCAAGGCCCTGAGACTTTCCCCACCAGCTGCCCCTCCCCGCTTACCAACTCTAAGCCTCTTACCTTCATGGTGGGAGGCGCAGTGAGAGGAGGGGACAGCGGCCGGTCTGGGAGGGTCACATCCGAGCTGTTGGCCAGCTCCTGCTTCCTGTGAGGAGGCCACAGAAACAGAAGAGGTGAGTGAGGGCCTGCCCGCGACTTCCCCTCTCTCCTCTAAGAGCGGCTGGGCTTGAGGGCACAGTCTCACACACACTGCGGAAAACTCGAGTGGCGTGCATTTCTTTTTGGGGATGTGCTCAGGTCTAAAGCAGGGCTCCTCCAAGTGTGCCCCCTGCACCAGCAGCATCATTCTCAGGTGCATCCCAGACTCCCCAGTGATGGGGCCCAGGAATCTGTGTTTTTACAGTCTCTGCAGGTGATTCTGAAGCACGCAGAAGTCTGAGAGCCAGTCTAAGGAGACATGGGACTGAGGCTGGGGTGAGAGAAGAGGACAGGAGTAAACAAGTGTGACTCATCCTCCCTGGGGCCCCTCTGTCCCTATGCACACACACACACACACATATACACACACATACACACATGTGTGCACGCACACACTCAGGCAGGCCCTGGCCAGAGAGCTGACCTTAGGAGAACGGGGCTGCCTGCTGTGTAAAATGCAGGTAAAACTATTTTAGTTCATGTGGGCTAGGACCATGGAGAAGCAGCTATAAACAGAGTCACGTCACCATGACAACATGATTGAGACAAGTTCGCTGCTCTCACACACTCCCCACTTTCCATCTGGCCCTTGCTGGTGACCGAGGAGTGCTGGTTTGCAGTCCGATCACCAGGCAGATTGTTTGCAGTGGGGTAAGCCATCAGAGCAACAGTTACACAACAGGGCCAGCTGGGTAGAACCTCGGCGAGTCCCCAGACAAGGGACTCTGGTGTCCTAGACATGTCCTGGCTATATCCCGGGACAAGAGGGAAGGCAAGGATAATGGTATTAAGAGCCTAAGAAGACCAGGCTGAGCCATCAAAGCCCCAACTTTGCAACTGTCTCCTTCCCCAGAGTCCCAGCCTGAAGCAGCCATGAGAGGCAGCCCGACACCTGGTCCCACTTAAATGACCAACGGACTCCCACAGCCACCTTGAGATAATGCTTCTGTACTTCTTTCCAGCCCATGTCCTGCCAGTGGGGGTGACAGCTCCAACTCCAAGCCTCCTTCACGAGAGAAGCCCATCCTCCCAACAGAGCCTAGCCCTCCACCTTTCCAGAGGAAGCCCTTGCCCTGGGGCCCGGACACGATCCCATCTTGGCTCCCCTCAGCCCAGGCAGACTCGGTGTAAAAGAAACCATGCTGGGCGCCGCAGGGCCCTGTCTAGCCTGGCCCTGCAGCCAGCCACGCCTCACTGTCCACTAGGCAGCCAGGTAAGGAGTCTGCGTGAACATCTGGCTTAGCAGAGGATCCATATGACCCCATTAACCTCAACCCTGCCAGTCTCCCCTTTCTGCTCCTCCAACTGCCTCCCTCCTCCTTTCTCCTGGACTGAGTCCTACTCTGATGGCTGGAGTGGGGGGTCCTCTCCCTCCCGATCCAGACTGTAACTGGTGCAAGAACCAAAGGGCCAAGACTCGGCACGTGTGCGTGTGCACGCACACGCTCACACACAAAGGAATGACTGCAGCTCCTTCTACCTCTCAGCCAAAACCACCAACCTCCCCTTCCATTTATGGCCTCGGACACTACCACTGTGGGGTCCAGCCTGGCTGCTCTGGCCCTCACCTGCCTGTGGACCCAACAGAGCTGGATCCAGCACAGGCTCACCCTCTCCCACCACTCTGCCCTCTCCCAAACAGCCACTGCTCCTCCTCAATGGGCCTGCGCCCCTGAGAGTCATGATGGGGGAAAGGGAAGAGAGGAAGATGATCAAGGATGGGGAGCACCACCTTCAGGTCCCCTGAGGTGAGGAAGGACAAGGGCAGCTCCCTGGTGGGGCTGGGAGCCTGGTAGGGAAAATCATGCAGGGAGGGTAGGGGAGGCAGGCCCCCCAACCCAGAGTCCATAGGACTGCTGTGGGTTAGCTGAGGACCTCTAACCTACCTCCCTGGAGTTGGCTTGTGGGCAAACTTGACCAAAGCTGCCCTGGCTTTCCAGGAACAGAAACTCTAGAGGAGGGCAGTGCTGGCAGGTCAAGGGATGCTTATATACAGAGTTATGCTGTCCCGTTCTCTCCATAGGGCACAAGATGTCCACTCCGATGGGGCCAGAGCAGAGGTGATTATTGTCCAAGGTCCCTGAGTCCCAGGCAAAGGGCCCCTGTACCCAACCCTCCCTGGGCTGAGCCCCTCTCCCCCGCGCCAGCCTGTTTTCCCTGGATGCAAGAATAAGCTCTCGGGACCAGTCTCCAGGGAGTGGTGAGGACTATCAAGTGGGAGCACAGGGCATCTTCTGCCAGAAGGATTTCCCAAATGATGCTTGGAGCCTGGAAGGTGCTGTAGCAGGAACGAGCACCAGTGGCTATCAGCCTCATGCGAGCTCCAGCGCTCTGTCCAAGAATCTAGAGGAGATGCCAGAGTGGGCAGAAGGCATGACTACTGCCCTCAAAAAGATCAGAACCCAGAGCACACACAGGCCCTCGGCCACAAATTAGAATCTACCCTGCACTGGTATACAGATGGCTTGGAGTGGCACCTATGAGAAAGGTGGGCCACACTGCACCATCCCTCCTCTCGACTCCAGCCCTCCCTCCTAGAAGCCAAAGGTACTTACTTAAGAGCTAACTGCTTGTTATGGGTCAAATCGTGTCCCCTCAAAAAATACATTGAATTCTTAACCTCCAGTAGCTATGAATGTGACTTGATTTGGAAACAGGGTCTTTGCAGATATAATCAAGTTACGATGAGGTCATTAGCATAGCCCTTTAATTCAATATGCCTGGTGTCCTTACAAGACGAGAAGGTGGCCATGTGAAGACACAGACACACAGGGAGAATGCCATGTGACAATGGAGGCAGAGATTGGAGTGATGCAGCTGGAACGCCAGGGAACGAACATCAAGGATTGCTGGCCACTACAGAAGCTAGAAGAGGCAAGGAGGATGCTTCCCTGAGCCTTCAGAAGGAGCACAGCCCTGCTGACACCTGGATTTTGGACTTCTAGCCTCCAGAACTGAGACAATAAACGTCTGTTGTTTTAAGCCACCTGGTTTATGGTACTTGGTTACGACAGCCCCAGGAAATGAATACACTGCCCAGTCCCAGGGTCTGGCCTTGACTTTGTAATTGGAGGACCAAAAACAAGGAGGATGAAATCCCTGCTTCAGCCTCACCACCACCCCTATGGTCAGCGGGTCTTAACCTCGTCCTGCCCCAGCCTCACAACCAATGACATTCGCTTGTGAGTCACCCTCCCAAGGACAGTCAAGCCCGGCCTAGCCACCGGCTGGTGCAGAGATAAGACAGAGTAGGAACTACGGTGCTCAGTGCAATTCCAGCCCTTTCTCAGACAAACATGTCACACATGAGTAGGTGAAAGTGACGTGATTCCATCAAGGAATAACCTTGAATCTGCTCTAATTCATTTTCAGCAAATGGTCAATTATTAGCAAAGGTGGCACCCTTGCTATTCTTTGTAACAATTTTCTGGAAACCCACAGTGATCTTGACATGCGTCATGGCGTTGAAATTAAAAACTGCCCCTCCAGCCAAGCCAGCCAAATGCTCACACGCAGCTCTAAGGACGTGGGGTCCCAGACCCACACAGGGACACACAAGAGGAGGGGTTGGTGATGGGGGCAGAGGAAGGGACAAGGAGGATGGAGAGAAGGCCGAGGAGGGGAAGAGGAAGATCATACGCTCAGCTAAAAGAGAAGAGTGGTAAGAGCAGGCATGAACGGGCAGGTCAGGAGAGCCCCCTCTAGCCTCTGGGCGTCCTGAAGGCGCCGCCCACTTGGCATCCCTACTGCGCCAGAGCTGCGCGGGGCTGAGGTTCTCTGCTCTGGGATTCTTTCCCCAGAAGCATAGGGCAGCTGGGAGGTCTCAGGGAGGCCAGGAGAGGTCCTAACAGGCTTTAGCCAAATGCAGCTCTCAGGAGAAAATGATCAAAGAGCCTAGAATGGAAGCTGAGAAACCAGAGGGGATGATTCACCCAGATGGGGCTGTTCAAAGGGAACCAGACAGACCCCAAGGGAGGGCCCCCATACAGCACCCAGGCCTCCAGGGTCCTCACCTCCAGCCTCAGATGTCTCTGCCCCATTTGAGGTCAGTGCAGCCATCATCTCTCGCCCATTTCTTTGAAAGTGCCCTATACTAGGAATCAAGAGATCCCTGGGTTCCAGTTTGGCTCCACCTGTTACCCTGCTGAGTGACCTTGGTTAAGTTACCTCACCTCTCTGTGTCCCAGTTCCTTCATCTGCAAAAGTGGGGGTAGTACTGTTCCAAGGAATTAAACATAACGGTTATGAAATAAAACATAAAGTCCTATGCAAATGTAGACCATTATTATTATTATTATTATTATTATCATCTTTATTATTATTATAACTTATAAAATGGTGATCTGATCTCCAAGTGGAGAGAGAGAAGCAAGGGTCCAGGGCTCTTTAAATGTCATTGAAAACATTTCTGGCATCTCAAATAAGCACCAGTTCTAGCCCCAGGGATCTACTCTCAGGACCATAGCCATCGGTTAATAATAAACAACAGGAAAAATACCCACCTATCAGCAGGTGGCTCTGGGGCTAGGTTAAGGCCTCCCTCTGGCAGAGTTCTCCCAGACCTTCAAACTCCCCTTTTCTGCTTCTCCCACCACACCAGCTCCCCAGCCACCCCACTACTTTCTCTTGCTTTCCAAGTAGCCAAGCTAGGGAAATGCAGACAGCTGGCCCCTGTGGAGAGCTTCCCAGGAAAACCAAACCAAAAGGAATGAGAAACATTACAGACAACAGCCAAAAGGTGGGGACAGCACAAGTGTCCATCATTGGATGACTGGATGAACCAAGTGTGGTCTATCCACACAGAATATTATTCAGCCCTAAAAAGGAATGGAGGACTGATACATGCCACAACATGGATAAACCTTGAAAACACCACGCTAAGTGAAAGAAGCCAGACACAAAAGGCCACATATTGTATGATTCCATTTATATGAAATGTCCAGAACA